CCAAACACCTAAGAGGATATCACATGACAAAACTAATCGCAAAATAACATGAACCACTTGTCCGCTAGGCCTAGAACAGCAGGAGGAGATGTAGTGCTATACAAGGATATTTTGAACAATACAACTTATCAGCATTCATACGTAAGAAGCCCAATTTCATGAAGGAGACAGCTCTTACTCAGCGACTTGGGAACCATTAAGGTCAATACAGTCGATATAGTTACCAAATACGATGAGGCAGTCAAAACATTCTCAATAGGTTCATTCATTAACGAGGCTAGACAGAAGTTGTTGAAAAAGGAAAAAAAGGCGTGCAACCATAAGAACAGGAGATGGCTGACAACTATTCCTTTAGATTTCAGCAACAAAGCTGTCATGAAGAACAACTAGAGATCGTGCAGAATTCAGCTCTGAGAAGCGCCCTGAACATTACATCAAATGGCGGGCACACCACTCACTGTTCCGGAGGAATCGGTAGGAAAAATGGCTTCCCAACTATGGATTTCTTCTGGGATCACACAGAAATATTACTCCTGTAAAGTTGATATATGTGAAGGCTTAATATTAACACAGCGGCCACCTCGACACTGGACACAAGCGAGTTTTCAATGCTATCTGAGACATTACTCACAATCGAGCCAGCTGGAGGATGTTTGAACTCCCGCCATTGCCTGCTACAGTACATCCCGCACCCAAAGTCTGCGGTTAAATATTTTCTCAGCTGGTTTTCATATGAAATACAATTTTATTAGTGAAACGAGAGCACTAATGGGGAACCTTTTTAAACTTTTGCAGAGAACATCGGTGGTAGTTTGTCATATAAAACTAATTTCTGCTACCAGAGCAGCGGGAGACGTAAAACAATCCTTACCTTGTTCCTGCAGAATACATACAAGACCCTTTAATGTGGGATTCTTGCAGCCAATGCACACTTAAAAAGGCTGGAGGGTTTTCGAGGACGATTGGGACAGAGGTACAGCAAGGTGTATATTTCGTACTTTCCAAAGACCTACTTCAATGGTATTTGTGGTCGCGAAGGTGATTTCGATCTCTGATTCAAAATAGACCCGTTAGGGCGGCTGTTTTCTTCAAGTATACCAAGCACCATGAGACGTCTTCCTTCGAAAACACTACAGTTGTTATGCCAGGGGGAAAGGGGGAGAACAACAATGGATGCTGAAGCAAAAGAGAAAGGGGTGAACATCCAGAATGCCTTCTGCAGCTTCGCCATCTTTAAAGGTGGGACGGCGGGCCCTCTAAACGTCGTGTCCGAGAGCAGTCAACATTGAAAACTCGTAGGACCGTGCTGAATGAAAATGAAGACGCTAATTCGGTCACGAATCCGTAACCGTCGCTTTATCTGCTTGCTGTGGTTATGTCTCACAGCAAATTTCGACGAAGCCTTTGAACCCTGTTGAGGCAGAAGCGCATGTGCAAGCCATGAACAACAGTATCGCCAGAAGGGAACTACTCCACTACATGGGTTTATCGTTGAAGAAGAAAGGTGGACCGCAATATTGCGGTGTTTCCTCGCGTGACCCCATCAAAGATGGAAGCACTAGACTCCAACATTCACAAACACAAGTGACCGCATAAGGAAACCATAAAAAATTATGGCAATTCGGTGTGGACTACAAACCCAAGTAACAACAAGAACTTTATCAAATAAACGACTCCATAAGTGAATTTATGAGCTATTAGATCACTCGGCGAGCTCCAGAAGGTAAGCAGCAAGCGTCTTCGTACCCTGAAAAACCATGTCGTCGAATGACCAAGCACTGAAGGAATAGTTTTGTAATTCACACAAACCTTGATGTAGTTGGTACGATCAAGCTTCTCGTTCTGCGAATGAGCCATGTCGTCACATGCACCAATCGGCAGCAGCATCACATTGTTACCCGTGAGCTCCTAAATATCAACATAATTGTAGCCTTAGTATCAATCTACATTAGTTGCTTATGTAAATGCAATCACTTCTGCAAAGACCACAAAAGTCAGAATCGTTCGAAACGTTCTCATAAGGAAGAAAAAAGACGAAAAGAGAAAATGAAATACATCTAACAATTAGAGCTTTATTGGTAAGGTCTAGTCATTGAGTCACGGAGTTTTCGTTACCAGCTACCACGGTGGAGATCCAAGTACATTTGAACTTGCCATATTTACCTCAGTTCAAAGTTAAAATGTCATGGCCCGTTCCACTTCCAACCAAAGGGAGGCTTAAGAAAAACTCCTCCTGAATTCATAACAATTCTATTTCGCACTTTCTCCATAGGGCAAGTTTTCAGTAGGTGACAGCATTTCCTCCAGGTGACAGTTAACTTTTAAGTGCGCTATGGATTGAAAGTTTGTTATAGAAACAATACTCAAATCGTGACTTCTATATATGCTTTCTAATCCAAGGGAAATCTTTGCGGCGTTTATTCATAGGATATGCCGCTTTTACTTGTAACAAACAACCAGTAAAAACTGTAAACACACCTGGAATGTGAGAGTGATAGGAATGCTTCCTCCTTCACGAGTATAATCCGGTTCAACGCCAAACACTAAAGAAAACACCACGATTAAACAAATGTGATCGGAAAGAACAAGTAATTATTCAAGCTGTACGTTACATGCATGTTTAGAGTAAATTACTGAGATTCACGTAAGAAAAAAGAAAAACATACTTACCTGAAGAGTACATGTCCTATAAGTACTGAAATTGAGATTTTGAAACAAACAAAAAAAANNNAAAAAAAATCATTCAACTGTAGACAGTGGGCTCTAATGTTAGCCATCTCAAAAATTAGCAGGTGGCCGTACGCATCAGAAGTTAGTAACGAGAGGCAAACTTCAACAAGCTCACGGAAATGTGTGGAAATACATAAGAATAACAATAATATGGAGCTTTTACTACTAATACTGCTCTTTAAAGAGGCTGGGATAGAGAGCATACTTTGAAAGTAATTATTTCAAGCGGTGACGGGAATTGTTCTTTCTTGTACTATCGCGGAGTACCGAGTTATAAAACACTAGTTGAAGCTAAACATAGTTAAAGCTAACCTCTCTTCATAGCAGAGGCACCAGCGACAAAGTTCTTATGTTTGTAGTCGGTTATCCACGGCATACCACTGTGATGGGGGTAGACGCTGAAATTTTGTCAAAATTGTAATTCCTCAACAAATGGAACAGTTTATCCATGATGCAGATGCTAACTTGAAATGATTTGGAGAATGGCGCTTTGCCCACAGACTATTCAGGTGAGTAATGACCAGCTTGTCCACGGCTTTCGGTGTCATGTTCGGGACAATGCGAATCGAGAACTTCCCAATTACCTGCAAATAAGTTAGTATAACATTTGGTATTGATCAAAAACAATTGGACAAGAGATCCAAGGAAAACACACACTTTTCTAACGATGGAGAAGCTGGGATAAGGCGTATTGGGCCAAGTGATTGAAAATTACAACAATTACACATATAGTAAGTTGGAGACTACTTTTTGAACTGAAAGAATGCATACCAATGATAATGTACCTCTTTAGGCGCGCATTTAGGTTCGGAATGGATGCAGAGGGGTAATAAAGAGGGTTAGATATGAAGCAACAAGGAGTGCAGCTCTCGAGTGGCCCATGAATACCTCCATTGGGCCTCCTTTTCTTTTAACTTATCTTCTACTAAGAATGATGCAATCCTAACCGACAGATAACACCTATCGATTTCAGTAACTTATCTTTGTCACTACAAAACGGAGAACGGAATCAAAACGGTTTTTCATGAAAATTTACTTTCCTCCAAACACAAACCTTGCATGGAATCACAGTTTTCGCTCCAGGACTGCTGAAAGCCCCCTCAATACCATGCAGTGACAACGAAGGATTGCGCCAACGATTTATTAGAATCTCATGTTTGGTAGACTTGAGTAGGCCATGGGCAGCGATATCGCTCCTACAAAAAAAATTAAAAAATAAGATATTCGGATGTCAAAACTCTGATCAGGCTAATAGACCCGATCAGAAGACGCCAAAAGAGAGCCAGTAATAGCTCACTTGAACCCTTCCATATTGAAGTCAATCTTTTCATAAACCTTTCTCTCCGCTTCAGTNAGATCGTTCATGGCCTCCGGACTGGAAAGCAAAAAGAACACCAACTTCTGCAATTACCTCTGTTCAAATTAAGATTTCATAAAGATGAACTGGTAAGTGAAAAATGACCTACATGCTCCCTCCGTATGTTCCGGAATGAAGATCTTGTTTAGCGCATCTCACTTCAATGCAATAGTAACAGAGTCCTCTGAATGGTCACGTATTTACCAACTTCATGTCATTCGAATGTGAAAAGGAAATTCTTCCTCTGAAGAAGGCTGTCATGCCGACGTTCGAAGGGGTTCAATATTCTGGCTAGAACCTTCAATGACTATTCCTTACTTTGCACAACAGTTCAAGAGTAATGACATCAAAAAGAGCCGAGAAGTCACCCACATGCATGCAATTCTATGTCTAACAGTATATCAAAGAAAATATTACATTCTACCTCAGCCCATATGTGAGGCATGGCTTGTTCTTGCCCAGCCAGTAGTTGTCCGAAATGCACGTCATGTCAACGTTTTTAAGGAATTGGTCCTTATGCTTGCGGAGCGCCTCCTCAAGACCTTCAGATCCAGATTCTTCCATACATTCGAAAACGAACTAAAACGGAAAAGGAAAGAAATTTACGAAAAAAGTAACTAAATTTGTACCAGATGTCCTGCAAACCTTCAGATTCACTGGAATTTCAACATTTTTCTTCTGAAGAACACTGATTGCATTGATCCATGCAAGAACCGGGCCCTAGAAACCAAAACGTAATACATTCAACTGAGAGCCATAGCCAAGAAGAAGAGAGCCTTCGATAGAGTTATATCTTGAACCTCACCTTGTCATCAGTAGATCCACGACCAAACAACTTTCCGTTGACCTCGGTTAGCTCGAATGGGTTGGTATGCCAACCGTCCTGAAAACGAATTTAGGATCTGAAACAATGGAGATTAGTCAGGAATTCAGAGGTGAAAATTCAGCAATGATTGGCATACTAAGGGTCCCCAAAGAGACAAAAGGTTTTCTGAACTTGAGATGGATAAGTTCCGTCACCCAGCGCAATCTTGAAAGGCGAAAAGGCAAACAAATTTCGAGAGAAAGACGAAGTCAGGAAAACAGACTTCCTTGGCAGCAGGTTGGACATCGAGGTGACCATACACAAGTACAGTCTTCTTTTTAGGATCAGTACCTAAACATCAAGTTGTTAGAAAGAGGTCTCTTTTCGAAATCATGGCTTTTATTTATACTATTTTTATGCTGCGCCCAGAAAAAGTGAAGGGACTATAATGTTCAAAGCGAAAACAGTGGACGAGATTTAAACAGTCAAAATTACAGCAGTACACGCTAATCAAGGTATAGCTATTGTCTTCAAAAACGACTGTTCACAAGTTGTAGCAGGAAATTCTTTGAAGGGGAAAAACGTGAGAACAAATGTAAGCCATTATAGGCCAGCAAGACCGAATTATAATTGTAAACTCAAAATGTTCTCTAGAAAAAAGGGGGTTGTTATAAGGAGTAACTGTGCTTACCCACCTGTATTACGAAGAAACTCACGATTTAATTAAAAGTGGACTTGAGTAATGAAAACTGAAACTCTAATACGCCTTGCCTAGTACTCCAAAGATGATCGGAGGCAGATCGATCAAACGACCATCATGAAGTTTTTGTTTGCCAGCATCGATGAGTTGAGTTGCAACATTGATGCTTTCCAACTTCTGGAAAACGAGCCAGTTACGGAAGATATACAACATGTCATATAATTAAACGAACAATCCCATGATGCTCTTCAAGCATTTGCTGATGAATCACGCATAATACAAGATGGTGAAGATCAATTTGAAGTTGAAGAATGAACAGGAAAGGGAGCAGAGCAGATTAACTGTTGTTTACTTTGCCTGGTGTGTTACAACTTGCCGTTTGGTTTTCGGCGGTTCTCTAACGGTTAGGAACGGAAATACGGAATAGGCACGAAACAACAAATCAAATCCAATTACGACATTCTTCAGCTCCCCACACCCCCC